TCCAGTTGTTTGTAAATGCACCGAGCAACCTGTAAACACACTTTCCTTTTTAGCATCCCATATTATTGACTGAATACTATCATGTACATTTGAATTTAACTCTTTGGCCCTGCAACACATAATGAGTTATTGAGTATTCTTTGTTTGCTCAACAGTGGCTTGCAGAAACATTTTTATAACATTAATTAGAAAAACTTTTTTTTTAACCTTTTCCAGATCTTGCTCTTCTTCAGGCTTTTCCTTGCCGATGTAGACTGGGAGATAAAGATAATGCAGGGGCAATAGAGGAAGAGGTGGGTATTGAAATGGTTGTTTTGGATGAGAAAGTATTGGTACCATAAGTTGTAAAACAATCTTTGGTATTGTAATTGAAAACTATTTTATGTGATTTTTATATTTAATTTGCTTTGGGGTTGTTTGTGGAGTTTGTCATAAGGTGTGTTTTAAAGTATTCAGTTAATAAGGTGTTTGGTTCAGCTGTATTAATATTGGAGCTTTTGGAAACATAAAAGATTATGAATGATACAGAACTTTCAGCCACTGTGGAAAAAGATTTTATGATTACAGTATCTTACCTTTTCAACTTTCAGATCCGTCAGTCTTTGGAGCAGCGCCATCTAACATTAGTGGGGTGGTATCACAGTCACCCAACTTTCCCTGCCTATCCAAGCATCAAGGATATTGACAGTCAGATGGAGTATCAAATTACTATGAAGGGTGACAGTGACTCTGCATATACTCCTTGTTTGGGACTAATTATATGTTAGTTAGTCTCATTATTATAATTATATTGTGTAATTTTCTCCTTGGGACTTTATGTAGAAAAGTTGTCACTTCTGAAATATGCAATTTATTGTTGTTGTGTTAAGAAATGTGTTAGTGCTAAGGAAAATATAATGTAATTTAGCTATTTTTTAAACTGTCAACAGAAAACAACACATAAAAGATCCTGTAGGGAGGTGGGCATATATCATACCATGAAAATAATAAGTAAATTGTTCATGAATTCTGTTGTATAATAAGTAAACAATAATGTAAGATGTTAAAAACTGTATATGATAGTATTCAGTCAACAATATGGGATGCTAAAAAGGAAAGTGTGTTTACAGGTTGCTTGGTGCATTTACAAACAACTGGATATAATCACGAAAACTGTACATGATAGTATTCAGTCAATAATATGGGATGCTAAAAAGGAAAGTGTGTTTACAGGTTGCTCGGTGCATTTACAAAGAACTGTGGATATAATCACGAAAACTGTACATGATAGTATTCAGTCAATAATATGGGATGCTAAAAAGGAAAGTGTGTTTACAGGTTGCTCGGTGCATTTACAAATAACTGTGGATATAATCACAAAACCTCTATATGATAGTATTCAGTCAATAATATGGGATGCTAAAAAGGAAAGTGTGTTTACAGGTTGCTTGGTGCATTTACAAACAACTGTGGATATAATCACGAAAACTGTACATGATAGTATTCAGTCAATAATATGGGATGCTAAAAAGGAAAGTGTGTTTACAGGTTGCTTGGTGCATTTACAAACAACTGGATATAATCACGAAAACTAGTTTGTGTTTCTAATTGATTTGACATCATAGGAGTTGTATTATTGTTATAAAGTTGTATTATTGTTATTAAGTTATAAAATCTAAAGGGGAGAATTGAGAGTGCTGACGCATTACATGATGCAGACAAGTGAAGATTTGTATTTTTTAAGTATTTTCTTTTGAAATTAAGGAATTACAACATATATAATAAAATAATTAGATTATAAAATATGTTTTGATTCCAACTGTGTTCACATACATTTATAATAAAGCTATTTAAATTAAAATACATTACGCGGTCTTCACTCGTGAACTGTTGTCATACATCACGTGTTCTTCTCTCGTGAACTGTATGAACTTTGCACTCATATGCATAAATGTACTAGATCTCTTTTTTTTTTTACTACGTTTGTTGTAAAATAACTTATTTTGTCATTAATGTTTAAATGTACTGTACTAGAATAGAATCTTTCCAAACTATGCTCAGAGCCATGGCTTTTTCTCAACACAAATCAAGCACTTCTTCTACCAGTTTTCACTGCTAAAAATAAAAAAAAGGATGATAAGATTTATTCTTGCTTGTAATTATGTACATACAGTTCACGAGTGAAGAACGCGTAATGTATCATACAGTTCACGAGTGAAGAACGCGTAATGTATCATACAGTTCACGAGTGAAGAACGCGTAATGTATCATACAGTTCACGAGTGAAGAACGCGTAATGTATCATACAGTTCACGAGTGAAGAACGCGTAATGTATCATACAGTTCACGAGTGAAGAACGCGTAATGTATCATACAGTTCACGAGTGAAGAACGCGTAATG